GAAATATTCACAGACCCAATACCCCGGGTCAGTGCCTTAACATAGTAAAAGATAAAATGTATTTGCGTAGTTATCATGAAAGCAATACATTACAAAGTTGAAATATCAGAGCTGGTACAATATTGTAAACAAATTTGCGTTTAATTAGAAAACCAGTGCACCCAAGTAAATGATGTTGATATATTCAAAGTACAGAGTTGCATACAAGTTGCGTAATTACAGTACCGTCGGATATAAGTTTACTTAGATCGACGCGCGAAGCATGAAAGAAAAAGGTTGCTAAGATAACGCGCCAGTTCAGTGCGTGATTTGGGGTCAAACTTCGATCAACATACACTTGATGTCAGCATCGCCGCGCAGCAAGTTTCGCAAAGAAGTACTTGAAGTTCAATTGCACCCCAAAATGATGTCACTGATTACTCAGTTGTTGCATCGTGTGTTGTGTCATGTCATGTCCATGATCACCCCGTTTCGACTTTGGCTTGCTTTTCCTGCTTAGTGCATGTTCTTGTTCACGTAAAATGCGACCTCTAAACCAACGTATTAAAACACTTTGAATTTATACTTTGAATGATTATATTTGGGTCAACGCGAAACATTATTTTTTCTAAACATTTTCTGGGACCATTTTTATCAGCCAGGGTTATTTTTTCAGACAAGATGGGCTTCGTAATATCTGCCATAACATCGCCCGGACGATCTTTTGGTCCACATTTTTCTAAAAATAAATCAAATCCTCCATAAGATCGCCCGGGTGGGGTATCGGCCGAATCCGGTAGTGCTGACTTAGAACTAACTGATTATAACAAATCCGATAACGGTACACTCTCCATAGGCTGAGAGTAATTCAAACATATCTGTACTTGAAGGCATGTATATCCCGTAAGTAAATATATGCTGCCATGAAGGCTCGCCCTATGTTTAGAGAACCGATTGTACTGTTGACGCTGTTCAACATAACAAAGGGACTTGAATAAATTAATTGCGCGGTACGCCATCTTGCTCAAGTTAGCACCCACTTTTGATGAAACTGCTCGTTTGTCATGTTTTAGGAAACAACCAACCAATTTTTCACGATCTAACATTCCACGCATATCAGATACTTGTATATTTACAAAGTATGATCGAAATGGTCGACATTTTGTCATTAATTAGCTGTTTATCTGTGGCCAAATTCGAATTATTGAGTTTTTACGGAAACTATTTTTTGACTATTACGGTATAACTATTGAAGATGTCATTTTCAACACTTTTCTCTACGCTAACGATGTATAAATTACACAATCTATTCGCCACAAAATTGGCTAAAATATGATGTTTCATGGACGTTAATGTGAGCCGTTGACGTTACGGCCTTGGGAACAAGAAGACGTTCGTAAAATTTAGTTCATAAAATTCAACAGGCTTTATCTCCAGAACTATGGGGTACATAAAAATTTCGAGACGCATTCTCAAAGATCATTATCTTATAAAGCAACAGTGAAAAGATCAGAAACATAGAAAAAAGGAACACCGAGAAATGGCCAATCCCGCAAAAAAACTCTCCGTTTAGGAGGTTAACGGGAACGATCATAACTTAATCCCCTGAGCAAATATCAAGACGAAACATATATGATCGTATTCTGCTATATCTCAGCTTTATGAAAACATATACATTGCCATAACTGCATGCTTAGTAACTATTGAGGAAAGTCCTAAACTCCATTAAACTATAAATTATGTTTCCCCTCTCGCTACCTTAAATTATTTAATCCACAATTTTCTAACTTTTGTAATTTTCAAAAACATGAAAATACGAAATAGAGACAAACAAACAGGAAATGACTTGACAGCCATTCTGAACTATTCATATCAGATGTCGATAAATTTTTGCAAAGCAGTGTAATCTGTCCTGCTTGAAACTTTTCATTCAGAACGATATCCAGATTATCTTTGAAAGTTTACGAAATATTTATAAAATATGGAAAACATATTCATACACACAATGAAGTCAGACAAAATATAATTTCTTAGTATAACTTCTTGGTATCAATACTTCTCTAAGATATCTCTGGGTGACAATATATGGTATTTGTTTTCAAACAGTCTTGTGATTGACTGGTTATAAAATTATGCGCTGAGCATTTTAGTAACCATGAACTAGTATTAAAACACTGTATTCGCCCTTGTTTTTTTAACTGTTTTCATTAATTAATGTTTAATTTCACATTTTCACCACATTCTAATCAAAATGACAATCATGTGAAATAAAAAAATTAATTTGAGATTCAGAAAAAATTTTGGGAAAAAAGGTTATAGGTGTAAAATTTGGTCACAAAATTATATAATATATCTCTTTGGGTTTCCTTCTCCCAATGGGAAAAAAACAATTATTCCTAGATGTCTTGTCTGAATTTTAAGACATTAAACCGACTAGTGCATTGTGATCACCTTTTTTAGTTTTTTTGCTACCCATACTAATCCAACCCAGTTCAGAGCCGAAATTCATATCATATTAATTTCTAGTATGACTTGATAGTGCGCCACCAACAGTTGAATATGAAATATCCTTTATTTGCAAGTGCGCCCTCAATAGTTAGTTCAACATTTTAATTTGTTTCTTTCACTGGTAAATATAACAATAAATAAATGAATGAACAATGTGTCACAGAATATGTTAAACATATAAAATCCCTTATGTCTTATTTATAATAAGACATAAGTCTTAATTATAATTATGGTACCGTAATTTATCATGACAAAATGTTCTGTACTGCCATGGGGGAAATTCCAATGAAAACCTACCAATATTCACAGAGGTTTAAATATATTTTATACTGGGGTATATTTATACTTACACCTTGATAGCAATGTTCTATAATTTCTTGTACAAAAGCATATAACTTAATTACCGTTTACTAACGGTATCTTTGTCTTTTAATTACATGTATTACGGTAACTTAATTTTAATGTGTAATGCACCTGGCATTATATAAATGTTCCCTATTGGAAACAAGACTGTTGCCACAAAAACGGACAGTTTTGCCACAAATAGAGAAATAAACTTTAGTAGTTCACGCACACCCTTAATAAATACCACCACTAAAGATTTATAGAGAAATATAAAACCATGCATGAGGACTAGTAAACGGAATAAATTTGAATAAGTGGATAATCGCAAGTGATGTTGAATGTTGATGTTGAAGCATTGTGTGATGTGGGTGTGTATTTACTTCTATACTACTTACTAAAACTCGTTGAGTGAAACTGTACAGCAGTCAATGTGTTTGCTTAAGCAAAGTATCAAAGCATTAGTCAATTTGTTTTCCAAAATTACAATTTTAAAATAGTCATAACAAATTGTGCTGTAAAACTTAAGAAAAAGCTGTGATGTGAGCAGGAACATGGATATATTTTATTTTTCAAAGCATTAAATGTATCGACATAGTCTGTTGTTGGAGTGAATATAAATACAAACAATTGTTAATAGTTTTATATTTAAGCAACGGTCACCAAACATGGTACTTGTAACAAAAATAAACCTATCCATTCTGTATAAATTACAATTGCTGCCAGACATGTACGTACTGTGAACAATAATATGTCGCTGTTAATTAAAGGTTCTAGCCTTGTCAGTACAATAAAAAAACAGAAGCTAAAAAAACAAACGTGGCCATAATAAAAGCTGAAGTAGATGCTGCATGTGTATGCCTAGCCATGTCCACTATTAAACTTGGAAACCTTGATCTACATGACATGCAGACTGAAGGTGTCATTGTCAATAAAAATAAAAAACAGAGTATTTGTTGTGATGTGTATTAACTTGTCACCCAGTCTCATTTACAGACAAACACTGTGCATTGTATCCTGGCATCAAGATCTCCCTACTGTCTTCATACCATCTAAACAGTGTCTCGGTAACCATGGAGTACAGCACAAAAGAATCAGTCAGGCATTTGTTTTCTATTCACAAATAGTACACCCATAGACTTGTACCGTAAGAATGTAAAAACTTCATTGCTTCCACCTTTACAATTTAAACCCCTCGTATTTGACTTTGCTAGGGTGTTAGCAATGTTGCTAAGCGATTCGTTCATATCAAGTCTGCTTTGTACGCAATTAATACCTTGTTATTTCAAATGCATTTATTAACGAGAAGTGGAATTGAGACCACCTGGGAACGGCTGCACCATAAATAACAAAAAAATAACATCGCCCGACTGCTACATGTAGATTCGCAGTATGGGAGGGTCGGCTAGTAGATCTTTTAACTAAAAAAAGGTGGCAAAAAACTGAAATGCATTTTCGTTTTGTTCATGAATAAACCATTTTTTTTTTCAGCAAAGTATTTACAATTGTGCCAATTTTCATTTTATTATTTTGTCAAAAGTATTCAGATTGTGGCATTCTCAATCATTCACTCCCAGTTTAACAAGAAATGAACAGAAATTCACAGTTTCATTACATGTACATGTAAAACTCGACTAGATTAAGATTGACTCAACAGACTGATTAATATTTGGTAATATTGTTCTTATTTCCTTTTTTTTATTCTCAATTATAGGTTTAATAAGACTAATGCCTTTTGTTGTAAAAGTGCAATGCAAATGCATGAAATAAAAGATTTCCTATTGAGCGTTATTAGACAGTAATAACACTAATGGCCTGCTGTTGACAGCTTAAAAAATCCAAATTGAATGGATCCATCATGAAGCGTTCTTACTAAGTATCGTTAATGCATTGCATGTTGGGGAATGGGGGAAAAATGCTTAGATTTTTTTTAAATACTTGTTAAAATGTTTGTTCTTACCTTTAGTGACAGAGTGAGCATGACAGTTGTCAAGTAGATAGATATTGCGTCATTTTAAACAGTGTACGTGATTCAGCCCATCCTCATTACATTTAAAAGTCCTGGTTTCCTTGCAAATATCACTGATCGCAAAATTCATTTTGTTGGTGCTAGTTGTTAATATCCGTCCACATGTCAGACATGGCTACATTTTTCGCAGTTGAAAAGAACAAATCTAACTTGAAAATTGGGGCACCTCATACAAAGCTTTTGAAAAATCCACCATCACCTTTGCCCTCTGTATTTTGTTGATGAGATGTATTGAATATAGTCTTCATACAAAATCTGAAAAGGGCTTGCCTGTAGTCTTTTTCTTTTCTTTCTTATCAAAAGCAGTAAATAGGTGTGTCCATAATGATGATGTCCTGTTGCTGAAACAGTACGTTATCTCCGCTGATACTTCCAACAGTCCCCAAACTGGCCGTGTATATCGTATAATTAAGTCTTGTCGTCTGAGTACATGTAGAAGAACAGTTCACTACCCATTGTTCATTATTTCCATGCAGTTTCCTCTGCCTTCATTATAAAAAGGTAGTGAATGGAAATTAAATCCATCAATCACCTCCTTCAAGTGTGTTTCAGGCGCAGCCTGATGAAGTGCAAATAATCTTGAGACAAAACACCTGTACTTTGCACACAAGTATGTCTTTTTACAAAAATGTACATTATACAGGTTCAGGGATGCAGGCCAATCGTTTTCGACTCTTTTTTCCCGAAAATAGTACATTTGACTCTCTCATGTGATTATTGAGTCACGGTTCTGCGTTTTATGTTCCATTTCCTTTTGTTGATGAAGCCCATTCAGATATAGCACCTTGATAGCGCCCATTCAGACCCGTTTTAATTTGTTTCTCACTCAATAGCTCTCTAGACAGTTTTGACTTGTAGCTGTAACATGCTAAACAATAAAAATTATTCAGAGTCTGGGGCTGCTGTGCTATATAGCTGATGTTATCCTGTCAGCCAATCAGAATACTAGTATGTCTATTCTGTGTGTATAGCAACAAGGCCCTGGGATTATCTGTGGAATGGGAAATAAAAATAAAACTCTGAATGAGTCGAGTGACGATCGACCACCACAACACTGAGTGAATATATAAACAAATGGAATGGTTACAATTGGGAAGTAACTGGCAGCATGAACTGATACCCCTGTATGCTACACAAGATATACTCAGCTGAAAATAATTTGAGACTGACATTTCAAAGGGAGATATTCAACCATGGATTTTAAGGACACTGAGAAGATAGATGACAAGCCTGAAAAGAGACGTCTAAAGTGGAAGCCAATCAGTGGGTTAGATTGGCCCGGTGAAAACATGCTGGACGTATCGTTAAAGAAAATACACTTACTTGATGCTGATAGGGTATACTTAATTTTTAATTTGTCTGTCTGTTTTAAACGTTTGACATATTTATCTTTTTTGTTAAAAGCTTTTATACTTATCCATGCACTAAACTCTGTCTGTCTATGTGTAGTGTTTTGTTAGAACTGTTTCCTGCATTATCCAATATTAATATGTATCAGTGGGTGTCTGTATTGAGGCCTTGTATGCAATGTGCATTTTTGTACCGTACAATCAAGCTTTAAGCTTATTATTAATTGTCAATATGTAAATACTGAATTTAGTGTCACAGCTTGTTTTTACAAAAGTTTGAAATATTTTCAAGTATCTTTAGCATCTGTTGCTTTAGCATTTAACAATATTTGGTTTTAATAATTCAGTTTAATGCCTTTGTCCTTGGCGTCTAAGACTTTGATAAATTAAATGATTCCATCAAAATTTTCTAGTTTCAAGAAGAAATTAAAAACACTAAAAATCAAGCCATACTATTAAAAAATACAATATTTTAAATTTATGTTAACATATTATTGAGGGCACTGAACCAAAGGCATGCATACTTGTTTGGTTTTCAGTCCTTAATCTGTCAGTACTATAAAGGCTTTATTAACAAGTACATCCCAAGAGAGAACAGGTCTGTCACTGATCATGACATGTCTTTTTTATTCTCCAACCCAGACTTGTACAGGCAACTTATTTGCACTCCTGTTTTAAAATAATAAAATAGGTCATTATATTTGTGTGTCAGGTTTTAAATGCATTCAGGAAGGTTTAAAAACTCTCAAGGGAATTTTTGTGAAAACATTTTCAACTTGACTTTCAAGTACCCTATGTGCTGTAGTCCTTAGAACAATGAGTCACAAGGAGTATTATGAATTGAATGCTAAACATGTATTATTACACAAGTCAGTAAAAAATACTACAAAATGTCTACAAAATCATATTTTCCATCTTTTCAAAAATCTCCTAAGCAAGTTTAATTGCATTACCGTTTACTGTTAACATGATGGACATGAAATTTCATTTTATTTTTATATATACATTTAGTGAACTATGACCATAATTATATGTACCAGTTACAATATATGTATGAATGTAGCGGCAACTAGTATATTGATTATCCATTATACTGACTGACTGTGTTATTTACCAGTGTCTGTCACACAATAACAGCAACTCTTTCAATTCTATAATGATACTTGGATAATGAAAACTAAAATTCTCTGTCCTTGACACCATTTATGCGACTGGGAATTATGTCGCATAATTTAAATCGTTAACAGACTTACCGTAGTATATTTTTTACATAATAAATTTCTTAAAAAAGTATAAAACGTTAAATAGTGATGCAAATTTCAGTATTAAATAAATTATACAGAGATTATTAGGATGATATGGTAGAGCAAAGTAATTGTCAAAATTATTATTAATGGGCTGTTCTAAAAATATATGTATTTAATCAACTTGGCAAATGCGCTTTGGTGAGTATGTTGTGTGACAGTTTTGATGACTGTGGTTATATTGTAATGGGGGTCATCAATTATAGCTGTCTTATCATATTTATCAAATTGCATTCCAGTTACTTTATCTCTTGAATTATTGAAATTTATTCTTAGTTTTTCCCAAATGTTTAAGTTGCAATCTGAGACTACTCGCATTATTGCTGAATGGTCTGAATTTGTGCAAATTGTGGGAAATGTGTTTTAATGCATTTCAGTAACTTCTGAACATTGTCGATTATTTCAGCTTCCCATTTGATTGTGCTTGTTCAACTTTGATAATTCTTTTGAATATTGTTGCATGGATTCACAAAGATTCGTTTCCTTTCCTCATAACTGTGGCCCAGAAGTAATTCGGAACAAGGGTGTATCCAGATGATTCATCAATATTTCCTGCAATTTGCGCTTATCTAGAACCATCAAATATTTTATGTAGTCACATGACTAAAATGAAGTTCTGGAAATGATCTTGAAAGCGCTAAGCAATTTACATACACGTATTCTTACATGCCTTTATCAACACTTCAATCCAAGATATTCTCTCAAGGCCTTTTCAGATAAACAAAAGTTAATACTTTGATTGTATGGAATACTATATGTATATGCAAATTAATAACGTGAAGTTGAGGAGAACCCAGCCACCTATAGTTGGTAGAAGCTATTGATATTAGATCCTGCAGAATTGATCATTGCACACAGTGTTTCATACCTTGAACAATTAAAGTATTGAACACCTCCCAACTTTACCTTCTTAATTCATTCAAACTCATCAACCGATTTATTGGTATTTCAAACTATTGAAGCGTAACTGATTAACTTAAATTAATTTAATCACGGTTTGGTGATCTTTTGTCGTTGCTACTCATCAATCGCCCAGCCTCTCAACAAGTGTATACACAACATACCCCCATTTTTAGAACCAAGAACCTATGTGTATCATTTGATTGTACGTGTACATATGCCTGTATTTTGCCTGCTGAATTAATATTTTGGTATGTTTGAGGAATGTCTGTTAACTATCTGGATATTTTAAAAATGAATATACTTGTGTGAACTGTTTATAATACCACATTTTCTTACTCTGTGATGACATTTAAGTTAATCTGGCCTATGATATCAACGGATTTAAAATCGTGTAGGTGAACAATGATACATAGAATTGATCCAGCAATACAGAACAAAACACTTGAATTAAGTGATTAAAATTGGGTATAAATCTTGCATTGTAAAACTCTCTATTTTATAGCTGGTCGTTTCTGTGCAGACAATGCTAACTTTTATTCGCATATTCCTTGAAGTAAAGATACTTGTACATAGGGAGACCTGGCAGCGTCTTGTAAACTTTTCTTAATATTTTTGTACCCAAATTTGGATAAAACATTTTGGACATTATTCTGCTTTTTTCTACTTTTTTCTTTTACTTTTTTTAATTTGAGATCACTTGAACATAATTTCCCATTTGCTTCAAGTCAGAATCACATTTGCTAACATTAATATACAAATGCCGTTTTATTTTCTGACAAAAGGTTACTTTGATGTCATTTTAACCCATTTTAACCACTGCCATACAGTTGTTGTTTTTAGGAGGGGGAGGGGGGTCACATATAATGTTTACCAGGCAACAATTAGAATTATTACGAAGGGATACCTATACACAGCTTTAGTAGGTCAAAGGTGGAGGGCATGCATCTTGATATGTCAGTTTACGAGCCATGGAGATCAGCTGTTACAGTTACCAATATAACAATGCTTGTGTGTTGCCCCGGTGAGTATATTAAATATGCGACATTAAATTATCAACAGTTTCAAGTGTGGGGGAATGATTATAACGAGGTTTGCACATTCCTAAGTATTCCAATATGTGTATGTATATAAAAGTGTTTAATTGGTGTGTTACATAGTATAGATGTACCTACACATTATTTTTATTTTGATGCAGTTAAAACAAAATTCAACTTTTCCACTTCCCCATTTTTCTTCTTATAATTATAAAAACATAAAATTAAATTATTTAATCAAACTGTCTCCACTCACACATATAGTAATCCACATTAATTTGCTAGCGACAAATCAGTGAAAACAGGGACAGGACAGGGAAACACTGACTTATTGTATCATCCGAGTAATGATAACTACCTTGTTGTTGGTTTGAATCTCAGAGTCAACAGGTTTATACGTACATGTACCTACAACTGATTGTCAGGCGAGACAACAGTGACTTCCCTATGTCACCTGGTACAAAATTATTTCAGAAAAAATGAAATCATTAATATATGGTATACTTAGAATAAACATTGTTGGCTTGTATACATCTTGACTCTGGGGACAAAATGTGTGTGTTTAAAAGATAACCAGCTATCAAATAGGATGAACAAAATGGCAGATTTGATGACTCACTCAGACGAAAAAACTCATGTGTCACTGAAGCCAGATGTATTCTGTAAATGCATTTTGTTTAGAACCTGGGCATGTATGTAGAGTTTAAGATGATTTTCAGAATGACCTGTGTCTAAATTTGTTGTGACTCTTGTTGATTGCAGAAAGCGTTACTCCACAGACTTGTATATATCGCTAAATTGGGACAGGAGCTGAACGACAAGAGAGATGTAGGAAGTAAGTATACAGTAAAGTTAAACATATCTAAACTAAACAGCATTTCTCATTCCATCTTCTTAGACTAACAAACAGTTACTTGTAAAACCAAACAATTGTCTCATTGGTGTTTGATTTAGATGGATTTAGTATTACTGGTACCTTTTGTGGTGGTCAGATTTAGGTACTGTAAAATACTTTATTTTCGCTTGGAATAAATTTTCACTGAAGGAATGATTCAGTGAAAATAAATTCCAGCAAATATAACTTTTTCCTTACATTTTACATTCAACTTGTCAAAAATCAATGAAAATAAATTTCACACAAATTACCCTAAACGTCTTTTCAGCGAAAATTAATTCCAGCTAAAAGGAAGTACCGGTATTTTACAGTATTGTGCGATGATACACCTAATTTTAAGAGTAACTTTTTATTGCATTGTTTTTGTGTGTAATCCTTAGGTTATTATGAGAAACAGTTCAAATACTGGCAGAACCAGTACCAAGGAGAAGGTGTGACAGGAATATTATTGGTGTATCCCAGTCATTATGTCCATCTCATTGAGGTAAGTGCATGTTTGACCACTTGGTGGCGCAATTTGGTACTTATTCCACAATAGTACTGAATATGTGACTAATGTGACTATGAATGTAGTTAAAGCGGGAGGGTTGTCACCTGTGGACGCACGGGAATTTAGTCCCAAGCGACGATGACAACACGCGCTAAAAACGCAAATGCTCATGGGTAGACGCTTGTTTGTAAACAGTGACATGCTATGACCATCTGACGCATGCGCACGTGCCGACTCGACCTCGCTTTAAAAAAAACCAAAATGCATGTAGTTAAACATTGTGCTTGGTTTGTTTATTTGACCACTAGAGGGCGCCACATCACTATTTTCCACATTTCTTTCAGAGTTCACAGGAAGTACTTCTTGCATTAATCCGTGATTTAAAACAAATTGAAGATAAAGGTGAAGGAATGATAACACAGTCCAAAGTTTTAGTTTACTCTGGGAACGTACCCACAAGACTATTCAACCATTGGAATTCCAGGGTGCTGAATCTACCGGCATCCAGACTAGAACTCTATGAGACCAATGAGTCTGTTGAAAACCTGGTAAGAGTTTCTCTTCTCTCTCTTTCAGTAGCAGTATTATGCTGCGTACAGTGCATCTCCAATTTGCATATGGTGTTGCGAGAAGTTTTCGCTGTGTCAAGTCGTGTAATGTTTGCACTATATTTATGTACCTGTATGTCTCAATACAATTGTCTTGTAGCTCTTTGCATGATTTGTTGGTATCTCGCATCCTTCTGAATCAATTTATCATTTGTGTTATTGGTCTTCCTCATAAAAAATAAAATTATAGCAATGATCACTGCCAATGTTTGCGGATGCTATTTTTCCCATTCATTTTGGCTATCTTTGGTGACTATCAGAAGGCAATGTAACAATCATCATTGTCGTGGTTGTTTTCTTCGGCTTATCGTCAGATGATCTAGACTTGAAATCTTACTGTCACACGTCCACACACTAACCGTTTAGCGCTGTATGATTTGCATAAATGTCTTAACAGAAATACATTATATAGTTAGCGTGTCCAGAATCTTGTCTCTCATACTTTTTAAAATATCAACTGTATTTGTTTTCAGGTTCCAGAGTGTTTGACACAATTACTCAAACTAGGAGCTTTTCTGGCAAAACAACCCAAGGTACGTACTACAAAGATAGATTTATACATACGTAATTCATGCATAGTAGCTGTAAACATCAACATCAACCAACATGCCTTGTTAGTCATTGCGTTGTAACATCTCATTTTGGTGACTTATCAATGGGTTACCCTGGTAACTATATTCCAAGATTTATTTTAGGTATAAAGTTTATCCAGTGTAGACACCCCTCCCCCTACATGTATAGTGAAAATAATGATTATTTGCCCATATCTGGATCAGTCTATGGGAGAAGATTATATGTCATATTTGCTTTATAAGAAGCATATATAACCCCAAATTGTATTTATTGTATGCTGGAGGCTATTTTTTACTATAGACACACCTCTGTCATTCATGTGAGCACATGCAATACTAATAGAGCAAGTACAGTAAATGGACTGAATGAATATATGTATACATGAAACTGTTTTAATTTCAGTGAAAATCATGACATTTGTAACTGTAAACATTTTAGTATGTCTTCAAGATAGAGTCAAAATGACTGATGTAAGATTTTGTCCTCACAAGCAGTGTTAAATCTTCAAATCTTGAAAATTCCAAGCTGCAAATAAGCTTGCACTATTCTACTATATTAGGTTGATTCACTCAAGTGAAGGGCTCATAATAATGTGTGCTTAACAATCAGACATTCTATACTCAATATCTTGATCTCTTTTCAGATATCACTAAAGAATGTGTTGGATTCACTGCATGACAAAGTACCTGAACTTTTAATCCCACAAGGTGAGTTACTATGCTTCTCTTATCAAATCAAAAAAACAAGAGTATTTCTTCACATCCATGTTTGTGAATTGCTGGAGTTGCTACAGCTACTCTGACATTCCTCCAGTCTGTAAATATGTGTACTGTTATAATGGAAAGATGTTTTTTGGAAGTCAAGATGGTTTTTCCACCCAGCATCAGAGAGATGGTTTTGACTCTGTCGGCTGTACACTCAGCAGTATTCAGGGTTAGGAGTATGACATCCAGTCAGGGGAAGTAAAACCGTTTGCTCAGGGTGCTGTTTACAGTCAGTCCTCCGAGTAAATCAATCAGGTTATTTTTGTTGCAATGAGTTGCAGATTATCACAGTACGAGTAGAACCTAAAAATACATGACTCCATTAGAAATCGTAAAACTCCAGTTAGAGGGAAATGAGTTGTCAAACATGGTTGAATAAATGAAAGCTCAGATATCAATTCATAATCCTACATGTACAACATTGGGAGGATTACCTTGTAAACCAAGACAGGTTAAGATATTTTTCGTATAACTGGACCATGATTTGAATGGACCATTTAGTACAAAACAAAAAAAAAATACCATCTAGAATATATTACGCTATTCATAAAAGCTTAACCATCTAATTTTGATTTGATTTCTACGCAGACTTGATTGGTTATCTGCTGCAGTCACTGCAGTTAGCTTCACCTGCTGAATATTTGACAAAATATGATGTACCATTTGATACTGTCTTAGATAACGGTAAGTACATA